ACACGCAACGCACAGACATGCTGTGTATTGGTAAATTCTAAATCTGGTCTGTAGGGGCGCCAGCGGTACCCCACTTACACTTGTATTAGTATATTTTCCCCTTAGTCATGCAGGGGAATTATTTCCACAAATATGGAAATAATTCCGATTCCACAACGTTTGTGAATTGATTAACAATTTTATTAGCAATTCATACATATATGGAATTGTGGAAATTAATTGCACATTTTACTATAAAGTGATACGTAGTGTAAAACTATGTAATATTACTGTACTGATAATACATTTATTAAAAAATGCACCTATTATATATTTTTATATATATTTTCTAAGTTTTATAAGTTTTATAAATATAATTTTTTGCACAAATTTTTCATGTTGGGGTTAGAATTTAGGGTTTTGATTAGGATTTTGGGGCATAAGCATTTTTATTTAAGCCACTTTATATTAATTAATTGGCCAGTTTTTAAGATAATGCAATATAAGCGGTAAAACACCAAGGTGCAAAAGTGAAAATTTTTATCAAGGTGAATCAGAGCAAAAATAAACCCTAAAATTTCTGAGGCTATCTACACATATATAAACCAAACGAGCGAATTATAAGCAAATTATTTAAATGGGTTGAATCTCTTCTAAATTTTACTCAACAAACAGAAATGGATAAAGTCTACACTATATGTATTTCTTTGAACATTATTTCTCTCATTTCTTCTGTTGTCTCATGCGTGACATTTGTCTCCATACGAACATACTATCCTGAATTTGCAGATCGTGTTTCATTTCGTTTAAGTTTTGCGGCCTTATTCTGTGATATAGGCTATTCTGCTCATCTTTTATTTAATTTTGTTTTGGATCCTACACCCGGTTTTTTGTGTAGATACATTGTAAGATATCATTAGCTTTCTTTTTCGATTTCAATAGCTTCTTTTTAATTTCTTAATTTCTTTTTCCATATATAAGCCTTGGGCAATCGCATTTTTTTCTCTTTCTTCTCTATTTTTTATCGTTTGTATAGCTTTGGTATGTATTAGAATTATATTTTACTGTTATTTATATATGTTTATTTTATTATTTTTATATTTATTATTTATTTATTTATTTTAGAACCTTCATATAATGTTCATAAATGAATATAGACGACATGATTTTGAAAATTATTATTTTACGATTGCATTTTCTTCTGCTCTTTTACTCTCTCTACTTCCTGCTGCCGCCAATATGTATGGTTATGATGATATTTTAGAGTATGTATACTATTATATATAGATGTACGTACGTACGATATTGGAGGTGCGAACTGAATTCAAAAAGGAAATAAACCAATAATTTGAGCTTCAGTTCACACCTCTAATGTACGTACGTACGTACGTACATATATATATATTACTTCAAGGGTCTGCGACCGGGCACGTGCCTATGCACAATAAAAATGAAACAGGTATGGGCACGCAGCCACTTATTTGCGCGAGTAATACAAACCTCTAAAATGGAAATGGCCAATCAGAGAACAGAAATTCAGGGTGTTCCGGATCAGCCCGACATAGAATCAGAACACGTGCGAAGGAAGAAAAAAAGAAAAGAAAGCGAAAATATTCAAAAACTAGTGTTTAAATCGACCTTGGTGAACTAATAAAAAATAACGGGGATGAAATTTTACATATAAGAAATTCCAACCTATTGCTAAAGCTCACAACTCTAACGTCCTAATCTTAAACTTCTATTTTTACGCACTTAATTTATTTACAAAATTCGATTTCCTTTTGGTTTGTGTTACTCGCACAAATAAGTAAATCGGTATGGGCACGGGCATGGCATTCTACCGCATTACTAGTAAATATTTGTTTATTACATAACTATAAATTTTTTGGTTGTGCCCGACACTATGTCCGGCATTTATGCCCATACTCAATAGTGCCTGTCACTTTGTGCCATGCTTTGGCATGATGTATTTTATTTTATATATTCATATTGATTAATGTCTATTACAGTCGTTGTTGGTATCGTGATTCTGGTCAAGTATATAATATAATATGGCAATGGGTTACTTTTGACAGTTGGATTGATGCATCTATATTGTATTGTGCGATCGTTGTTATTATGGTCATTAGAAAACTCAAATTTGCGGAAAAACAAATCGATACTTTTGATTCTTCTTCGACTTCTCGGTTATCTAGTCATCGTCATCCCCCCCCCTTACTTGATAAGGCTATGATTTCAAATGTTGTCAGAAGAGTCGTGTGTTATACTGTGGTGCCAGTAGCTCAAACCTTTTGCACTTTCACCGAAACTTACTATTATGTTACTAAAACGGTCTCTTATCCATTAATATCAATTAACTTAATTGGCATATCACTTCAAGGTATTTATATGGCTTATATATATATATATATTTCTTTATTATTTGAACTTTCTTTGATTATTGTTTATCTGTTATCTTAGGATTACTGAATACTTTAGTATTTTTACAAGATATTGCAGTTACTCGTACGTTCCATGCCATTAAGTTACAATGGTGGATCTCCAATGTTAACTATTATGAGTCTCATTATCCTCATCGATCTCACAGCAAAGCCATTGCAGATAAGTTTATCGTACCAGGAAAACCAGATAACTTTGTTGAATTGAAAGTTCTAAATTGCAACAATGCTGCTGATATCATTAAAAGAGATATTATTAATGATGATGTTATTGATGATAATATTATCAATGAAGATATTAATAATAAAAATAATAACATTAATAATAGAGCTAATAATAGTATAGTTTCACAACCTTCTCTTTTAGAATGGTTAAGATACATGCTATTAATTAAACTTTTCTCTCCTCCAAAAAGTTCACCTCGATTATTTTCATCTGAACTTTTATCACCGATTAATTCTTTTGTTGGTAATGATGATACAAAACAGGATATAATTCTTGATAATCAAAATGATCAAGGTATTCATTTAATTCTCACATCCCCTCATTGTTTAAATCCGTCAAATTCATCTGAACCCTTAGTAGGTAGTTCTAAAAGCTATCAAACTAATCAAACTAATATAAATAATTTAAATAATACAAATGTAATTGATATATTAAACTTTGCGGTTAATGATGAAGGACGAATTGATTTTATGAATATTAATGGCGAACCAACAAAAAGAATATCAGAAGAATTTAGTGAAATTGAAATAGCGTTAAGAAGACTTTAAAATTTTGCTGGAAATTGAAATGTTAAAATTTGCAATAATTTGCATAGAATTAGCATAATAAAGCACTTTATTAGCGGTCTATTAACAGTTAAATAATCTAAAACTAATTTATTACATTATTAGTAATTTATTGGCAATTATAAATGCTTAAAAAATTACTATTATTTAGCTTTATAAAACTACTTTGCTAAAATCTTACATTTTTGCGAAAGGGACAAAATATCCTATGTTTAGTGTAAATTATTAATAATATAGGGCTCTAAGAGGAAATTTTCATAGCAAAGCGCTAATTTAGGCAAATTTAGTTTCTTACTAGCACTATTAACGAGGTATCGACGAGACTTTTGGACTGAGTATAAAAAAATAGAAATTTTCATACTCAGTCAAAAAGCCTCGTCAAAACCTCGTTAATAGTGCTAGTAAGAAACTAAATTTGCCTAAATT